TTCTCAGTTTCCTCCTCCATAAAAATGGGGGGGGGTGGATATGTTCTACCTGCTGGAGAGATTAATGAGATGAGCTCACGATGTCCAAGGGGCCCAGCACACTGCAGAGCCTAGGAACTATTGGGATTAGGGCCCCTCCCAGCTCTGGGGTCCCTGCTGGCTGGTGTACTCCCTCCAAACCTCCCCAAACAATAAGCTAAGGCGTTTGGGACCCGGGATGCACACATTCCAGCCCAGGCAAAGCAGCTGGGAACAGCCCACTTAGGTGGGGGGGGCTCTTAGCCTGGTTTGGGGGGCCTCCTAGAAGGCTCCCCTAAGCAGATTCCTGGGCTAGACTTTTGGACAGCCCGCCCCCCTCCCTTGCCTCCCCGCCTTTCCCGCAGAGCTGGGGCCTTTAAAAGTTTTTCCTTCCCCCTTCCCAATCTGGAGCCACTGCCGTTATTAAAAAGGAACACCATGTGTTTTAAAAGGGAAAAGTGTGAGATTCTCTGTAAGCAAGGCAGGAGGGTGGCCCCCATCCTGGGGTCCCCACAGGGGTCCCCATCTCCTGTCCCGCTGGTACCTGCAGACACTTTACGACCTACCCGCCTGCTGGTCAGGTGCTAAGACACACCGTAAGTAGAAACATATTGTCGAGGTGTGAGAATCTTTTATTTAATTTCTTCCCCCTTAAAGGAAAAAACACACACACAACAATCTGCACTGCCCTCCCCACCCCATCCCCGCACCACAGCCACCTTTGCCTGCTACTCTGCTGGCTGGGAAAAAAAGCCTGCCACTAAAGGTGGCACTCACAGGTGCTGCCCACCTCCTGGAAGAGCTGTCAGGAACCCAAGGAGGGCCTGGGCAGCCTCTCACCTGCCCAGGAGCTTTGGACATACTAGACTCTCAGCAAGTGCCCCTGGGACACTGGACAGTGTCCTTTCTGGAGGAATACCGCAGGAAGACTGCAAATAGTTCTGTACATTGTGGGTCCACCTGTAAGGCAGTATGTGCCCACCACAGTCAACTTATGTACCTGGATGGGGTACATGGAGTAATTGTGAACATCCAGGGGAGGCAGTGCCTGCGTATGTGCCCTGTGTTGCCTCCCCCTCGGCATGAATGTGTGACCATGAATGTGTGTGTGTCAGGGATGGAATGTGTGTGCGCCCCGATGGTGTGCGAATGTGCATCTGGGATGCAGTGTGCGCGCATCTGAGGGTGAGGGTGACGGGCCACAAGCCAGTGTGAGTCTTTGTGTGTCTCTGGGCGTGTCCCAGAGTGGGTCTGGATGTGGAGACAGTGTCCTGGCGGGGCTGTGCATCAGTCGGGGGCCAGAGAGTGCCGGAGGCCAGGAGCTCCCAACAGGGCGGGGGGGTCTCGG